AGACCAGCGAATCTGTACGTCTAAACAGCAACCTGGGACAACACCTACATTGCGTTTCAGGCCAGCGGAGATTTCCCCGTCTTAAATTGTGGATTCATGTCTAGAGAACAAAGCTTGAAAGTTGATCACAGCTGTGATGTGTATTGTGTATTTCCCTAGGATCTCAGGCTGCTTCTGTGTTATCCCCACAGAGCTGTAAAGCAGGTACTCTACATACCTACAGGCCACAACTGCTGTTCAACTGGGGACATTCTTTGTTCATCAGAAGCACAGAAAGAATAGGAGTGTTGCCAAAATCCTCACGGTGACAGAAGTTGTTTGTCACATTATCTATAGATGTGACGTTCTTTTGTGACCTTATTAACTCAATCTGATTTTATGCTGGTGTTTAGAAATAGATGCCTTTGTCACTCTTTATGCTAGTGAGTCATGGCTTCTTCTTTATTTTTAATTGGTCACTCTGCCTGCAGGGTCAAATGGAGAATATGATATGAATAATTGGGAACAGAGGCTTGAACAAAATGCTAAAATTAGTGAAAAAATAAAAATAAAATAATAAATAAATAAAAAATATGATCAAATTAAATTAATAAGAGGCATGTTAGGGGGCTAGTAACTGAAAATCTTCCATTAACTCATATCATTTTATTGCGTTTAAATTCTGCATCTTTCTCAGACCTTGCAGCTCCCAGACCAGATGGAGATACCGCTGGTCAGCAGGCTCTCAATGGTTCCTCTGTAGAAGGTGGAGAGGATGGGACAGGGGAGCGAAGCTCTTCTCATTCGTCTCAGAAACTGCAGGCGCTGCTGTGCTTTTTTCACCAGTGAAGCGATGTGAGTTGTCCAGCTGAGGTTGTCTGTAATGTGCACCCCCAGGAACTTAGTGCTGCTGACGATGTCCACTGCTTTGCCGTTGATGAGGACAGAGAGGTGTGTGGTTGGGTCGAGTCGACAATGATCTCTTTTGTCCTGTCGACGTTCAGGAGCAGGCTGTTTATTCTGTACCAGTCCACAAGATGTTGTACCTCTTTTCTGTAGTTCACTTCATTGTCGTCCCATAATTGTTGTGTCGTCTGCATATGTCTTGATGTGGTTGGGTGTTAAACCTGGGATGACAGTCGTGGGTCATCAGGGTAAACAGCAGGAGGCTCAGGACACAGCCCTGGGGGGAACCAGCGTTTAAAGAAATGATATTGGAGGTGTTATTACCCACACGGACAGACTGAGTTGTGTTCGTGAGAAAGTCCAGCAGCCAGTTGCACAGTGGAGTATTGAAGCCCAGGGGGACCAGTTTGCATACCAAGTCCTGGGGGATGATCGTATTGAATGCTGAGCTGAAGTCCAAAAAAAAGCATCCGTACGTGGGTGTTTCTTTTCTCCAGGCGTACCAGGCTCAGATGAAGAGCAGTGGAGATGGCATCTTCAGTCGAGCATGTATGCAAACTGGCTGGGGTCAAATGATAGCATAGATTATATGACTCTTAACCACTCTCTCGAAGCACTTCATGATGATAGATGTTAATGCAACGGGTCGAAAGTCATTAAGACATGTGATGGTTGGTTTCTTGGGCACTGGAATAATAATAGCTAACTTAAAACATGAGGGGACAATGGCCTGATACAGTGATGTGTCGAAGATGTAGGTGAGCACGTGGGCTAGCTGGTCTGCACACTTTTTGATCAGCCTTGCTGGAATGTTGTCAGGACCTGCAGCTTTTCGGATGTTAATGTTTCTCAGGGATTTACGCCCAACAGATGTTATGAGCCTGAGGGCCTGTTCATCAGGGTGTGGGGTAGCTTTCCTTGCAGGGGTTTTATTTAGGGCTTCAAATCTTCCAAAGAAGATGTTGAGCTCATTAAGGAAGCTAATGTCATCTTGGTGGGATGAAGATGTGGTTTTATAACCAGTGTTAGACTGGATGCCCTTCCACAGTTGTCTGGTATTGCTGGCATCATGAAAGAAACCTTGAATCTTTTGACTGTAGGCATGTTTTGCTGCCTTGATGGTACGGTTTAGATTGGCCCTCGCTGATCTAAATGCGACCATGTCACCAGATTTAAAGGCAGCATTACACTCCCTCAGTCTAGAATATGCCTCCTTAGTCATCCAAGGTTTCTGGTTGGCCTGTGTGACTATCGACTTTGTTGCTGTAACCATCTACATACACCACTGGATGTAGTATAACACAGATGCTGCATACTCATCCACGTCCATGTGTTGGTTATGCGTAGCGGCCTATCTGAACATGCCCCAGTCTGTGCATTCAAAACAGTCCTGCAGTGCAGACATGGCTCCTTCAAGCCACACTCTCACCTTCTTCACCACAGGCTTCTGTCTGGTGAGCAGTGGCTGGTATGCTGAGATGAGCATAACCGAAAGATGATCTGAGGAGCCGAGATGGGGGCGGGAAGCTGCTCAGAAGGCCTTCTTGATATTGGTGCAGGCCAAATCCAGCGTGTTTTCTCCTCCGGTTGGAAAATCCACATGTTGATGGAAATTAGGAAGAACAGTCTTCATGTTAGCCTGGCTAAAGTCTCCAGTAACAATAAAAACACCCTCGGGGTTTCTGGATTGTCTGTCACTGATGGCATGGTAAAGAGTACTCAGTGCTTGCTTGGTGTTGGCGCTGGGCAGGATGTAGACAGCAAAAATAATTCCTGGGGTAAGTAGAAAGGTCTGCATCTCACAATCATGAACTCAATGTCCACAGAGCAATGACTGGAGACCAGGGTGGCGTTGTTACACCAGCTGTTGTTAATTTAAGTACAAACACCACCTTCCTTGGATTTACCAGTAAGAGCATGGCTCCTGTCAGCTCTAAAAGTTGTTAGTCCCTCCAGGCTGATGGCATGATCAGGGACAGATGAGTTTAGCCATGTCTGACAGAAAATGAGAATGCAGCAGTTTCTTGTTTCCCTTTTGGTGGTTAAATCCAGCTTCACGTAGTCCAACTTGCTTTCAAGGGATCGTACATTAGCAAGGAAGATGGAGGGAAGCGGCGATCGGAAAGGGTTAGCTTTTAGCTTAGCTGTAAGTCCACCATGACACCCTCTCTTTTGTTTTCTCTCACGTCTTCTCTGGTGTCTCCATGTGTCTCTATGTCTCAGTGGGCCTGGGCTGTTGGAAGATTCTGCTGCTGTGTAGTTAGCTGGATTCAACTGCTCTAACTGATCTAACTGACGTAGCAGTCTAAGGCTTTGTAAAGTTGTCCGTATCTTAAAATTTATGAAGTTGAATTTGCTCAATATTAACATAGTCTGACGGTCATAGACTGTTCTTACACTGTTTATCTGAACTATTGTACTTACACTGTTTCTCTGAACTATTGTAGAAGAAGACATTGAATTAAGCAATAAATTTGTTGTATTACCAGGAGCTGAAGCAGCCGCAGCCATATAAGGTGGCGCCATGGCAACTATCTATCTATCTATCTATCTATCTATCTATCTATATACGATGAGGGCATGCTCCTCCTGTCTTTACGTTGCCAATAAAATGGCTAAAAAACATTTAACATATAAACAGATTTTCCATAATTTAGCTTATGTATATAATGCACAGTGTTTTTTAGTCACCAGCTTTGTGTGTAACGTGAGGAGTGATCATAAACGGCGAACAGATTCGAGGTGAGGCAGACAGTTCTCTTGCCTCATGGGAGGGGGCGCTCATGATCCCAGACATTGTGACTCCACAACTGCAGAGTAAGAGACAGTAACAGCGAGCTAGCCATACGCTAGCCATGAGCTAGCGTGATCACCCATGAGGGCTGATGCATAATTATTATTTTTTTAATCATAAGCACTACCGGTTACATTATGTGGAAAAAGGAACCATGAATTCACCTTAATTTAGACAAAAACTTGTTTTTAATAACTTTTTCCATGAAAAGAACAAAACGGTCATTGTGCAAATTGTACTGCTATTGATAATACTATCTTTAACAGACTGAAAACATATGAAAGCTCTGAAGAGGCTAAATAATGCAAAGAGCCAAAATAAAACCTCTCAACATTGCCAAAAAAATTCAAGTATAAAACTTAACATTCAAAGGCAAAAACAGTATCCATTACAATAAACAATCCAGAGTTACTGAATGAAAACTTCCTGATAGCATGGCGGCTAGCTGATTACTGCTAGCTCTGATTGGCTGATCTGACTGAGCGGAGTAATTATGCAGATCAGGGAGGAAATCGATTCTTTTCTCAGAGATTCTCTGTCTCATGTTAGGACAGCGAAAGTTTTAATACGTATGTAAAATTTATTTTTTTAAGTTAGATGCTGCAGCTTTAAGCAGAGGTTCGGTGTGAGAGTCACTACCAGGTGGAGCAGAAGCGAAGCTCCGTCTGTGAAATATTACTACCTGTAGCAGCGGTTCAACAGCGAGAGCAGAACCTGCGTCTTACATCG